AGCATCAGGTTCTTTTCCAATGAGTCAGCTCATCAAATCGCGTGGCCAAAGTACTGGAGATGCAGCTTCAGTATCAGTCTTTCCCATGAATATTCAGATTTGATTTCCTTTAGGATGGACTGGTTTCATCTCCTTGCTGTCCAAGGGACTCTCAAGAGTCTTCTCCAGCATCGAAGTTCAAAAGCATCAGTTCTTTGGCACTCAGCCTTCTTTATGGTCCAACTCTGACATCCATAAATGACCACTGGAAAAACCATAGCCTTGACTATATGGACCTTTGTCCACAAAGTAATGTCTCTGCCTTTGAATACACCGTCTAAAGTTGTCATAGCTTTTCTTCCAAGGAGCAAGCGTCTTTAAATTTTATGGCTGCAATCACCATCTGCTGTGATTTTGGAGTCCAAGAAAATAAAGTCTGTCACTTTTTTCATTGTTTTGCCATCTATTTCCCATGAAGTGATGTGACTGGATGCCATGACCTTAGTTTCCTGAATGTTGAGCTTTAAGCCAGCTTCTTCACTCTTCTCTTTCACTTTGATCAAGAGGCTCTTTAGTTCTTCTTCACTTTCTGCCATAAGGGTGGTGTCACCTGCATATCTGGCATTATTCGTGTTTTGTTCTTCTTTGCTTAGGCTCTTTTGTTCCTCTTTGCTTAGCATATACAACGTACACAAATGTATTTGTTTACATATGTAAAATCTAGGAAAAATAAGCAAAAGAAAACATTTGAATCTGTCATTTTATTTTCCTGATTTTAATATACATTTTGCAAAAGAAGATAAATATCGAGCAACACTAGGGTTTATAGAAAGAAAAGGGTATGTTTCTAGTTATTGATCTATCAAATGGCAATAAAGGAACAGAAACTTAACCTTTGATGACAGGGGAAAAAGAAAAAGCAACATATATGAAAATAAAGACAAAACANGTGTAATCTGAGCTCCCAGGTAAGTGACCTTTGTCTCAACCATCTGTGCCTTAGCACAGGAGACTTTATATCCCCTTTCTGCCAAAAAGTTTAGAACCTGAATTGCATGTTGTTGGGCACTTTTCTCATCTGGAGAGCAGATTAGTAGGTCATTTACATATTGTAATATTTTCCCATTAGGTCCCAGGTCCAGATCTAGGAGATGCTGGCTAAGGGCCTGTCCAAACAAGTGGGGGCTATCTCTGAACCCCTGAGATAATACTGTCCAAGTCATCTGTTGGTGTTTTTCTCCCGGGGCCTCCCACTCAAAGGCAAAAAGATATTGGGATTCTTTAGCCAGTGGTAGGCAAAAAAATGCATCTTTGAGATCCAAGACTGTAAACCACTTGGCACTGGGTGGGATTTCTCCCAAGATTACATAGGGATTGGGTACTGTGGGATGGAGGGGGACTACAGCTTCATTTATGACCTAGAGATCTTGAACCATTCGCCAGGTTCCGTCCTTTTCCTTACTGAGAGGATCAGGGTGTTACATGGCAAATTGGTGGGGACCAATAGCCCACAAGCAAGGAATTTATTTATTAGAGGCTGTAGTCCCTCCCAAGTCTCTCCTCTGAGGGGATATTGTTTCTGGTTAGGAAACGAAGTGGGATCTCGGAGGACAATGATGACTGGTTCAGCTTGGTGGGCTTGTCCAGGAGTACCCTGGTCCCACATCTGAAGGTTAATTTTGTCCTCCCATAATTTTTGGTCCCTCTCTATTGGAAATGGTGTAATGGGTTCTTCAGTAGTAACCAGAAGCTGTAGGGCTCTAGGGGTTGAAAAGTTTCCAATCATAAGGGTGGTCCCAAGTTTAGTGAATATATCTCTTCCCAATGAGGGAGTAGGACACTCAGGTACCACCAGAAACTGGTGGGAAGCAATGTTAGGTATTTAGAATAGGAAAAAGAGTCCAGAATGGTGGAGGCTAAAAGACAAGAAAGGGAAAAGCCCACAAAAATAGAACAAAGGAAGGTCCGAGGACCAGAGTCAGGACCTCAGGTAAAGCAAATAGCACTCCTAGCTAGCACAATTTACATAGGGCAGGAAAAAACATATAAAAAGAGGAACCAAAGGGCTGGGGGGGGAGGGGTGTGTCTCTTACCCACGAGCGCGTGCTTTCTCTCTCTCTCTCTCTCTCTTCTCTTTGTGTCTTTTGGGTCGGCATGCCCTCACGCCTCGAGGATGTATTTTCCTTTATTTTCTAAGTAAAACTGAGCTGTAACATGGAGCTGTAACACTGTCCAAGAGCTGTGATGCGTCAAGGGCTTTAACACCCATCACTTCAAATTTTTGTTGTGACGAGACAGAACTGAGGAAATTACACACTCCCATGACAAACATTTAATTTTCTAAAGACACCAGACTGTACACCTAGTGGAATGCCAGTTGTGCACACAATTGTAAGGTGTATTTCAGACTATATCCAAATATTGCAAAACAATGTTAATTAAGGTTTGCTTGAACTGAGATATTTAACATACTTTTGACTGATAATGTCCAACTATGTAAATATATTATTTTCCCCTTGTGGATGTATACACACATTCACTGGGACTGGGACTTGAGCCTGGCCAAAATCTACGGTGCCTGGGTTCAGGACCTAAAAGCTCAGGTTCTTGATATCTCTTTGGATAAAAATTCAGTGAGAGACACAGTGATAGGTAAGAGGTAGATTTGTTCAGATTCAGAAAGAAGCACAGTCCACAGAGTATGTGCCATTACAGAGGGTGTATGTGGTGGTCATGAAATGTGGTATGGTTAGTTTTTGTGAGCTGGGTGATTTCATATGCTAATGAGTGGGAGGATCATTTCAAATGCTGGGGAACCACCCACTTCTTGGTCTTTTGATAATTCCTTGGAACTCTCCTGGAGCCTCTGGGTGTGTCATTTAGCTTGCACATTGAGAATCAAGGTTTAGTTGAATTTAACTTGTCTGTCATTTTGGACCCATTTGACTTTAATCAGTTTATGTTATGCCCTTGGGCTATGTGATTCTTTCAAAAGTTGTGCCCTGCCCCCTTTGCTCCTGTTTCATGCTCTTTTCCTGAACCCCATCTGGGCCCACAGTGTTGCCTCTACAATCTTCTGGAGGGACAACCAGAAAATATCTGGCCCTAGGGAGGGAAATACTGTATAATACCCAATCCTTCTAGATATTCAGACGTTCATCTTCCATGTTTCCTACAACATGTGCAACAACAGCATCTCTCGGTGAACCTGCTAGGGCAGGTGACAGGCACATAATGTCTGCTAGAAGCCCATCTGTTGGTGGCATCCCTTCAAGGGCCATTGGGCTTCCAGGATAATGTTTGCCACTTTGGGAGTTAGCCCTGTAGGCCGTTTGAGCTCAAACCCTTGCCACCCTTCTCCTAAAGGTACAAACATACTCTCAGATCAAATCTCCATCCACTTTTATGGGACATCTGGTCTGTTGCCTCTTATCAATTTGTTCTTAGCCACTTACTAACTTCTACAACCAGAACCCTGACCCCTTGTAGGCAACATCACTCCACCCTGCTTATTATTAAAATACTCTTAATGTCCCTAACAGGACCAGATAGCCCACTCCTTTGTCATTATTTCTGTTATTACCTAAAGTGTGTCTATGACAATGAAATGTTTATCATTGGAAACACCCTAAACTGCTTTTATGAAGGACTAGAGGAAGAAATCGGTGACTTATATTCCCTCAGAGCAATAAGAGGATAAGGCTTATGGCTGTTTCACCAGGTTCCCAGTCTCAGGGAACAGGCTTGGATTGCTTTACATCATGGTATCTATTCTCATCCATGGTGGACACACCAGCAATGAGTTAAGATTACAACCTTTAATCCTACCCAGCACTGGTCACTCTGGAGACCTTCAGTTCAGTCTGTTCAGTCGCTCAGTTGTGGCTGACTCTTCATGACCACATGGACCACAGCATGCCAGGCCTGCCTATCCATCACCAACTCCTGGAGTCTACTCAAACTCATCTACATTGAGTCGGTAATGCCATCCAAACATCTCATCCTCTGTCGTCCCCTTCTCCTCCTGCCCCCAGTCCCTCCCAGCATCAGGGTGTTATCAAATGAGTCAACTCTTCGCATCCAGTGGCCAAAGTACTGGAGTTTCAGCTTCAACATCAGTCCTTCCAATGAATACTCAGGACTGATCTTCTTTAGGATGGACTGGTTGGATCTCCTTGCAGTCCAAGGGACTCTTGAGAGTCTTCTCCAACACCACAGTTCAAAAGCATCCATTTTTCAGCTCTAAGCTTTCATTATAGTCCAACACTCACATCCATACATGACTACTGGAAAAACCATAGCCTTGACGAGATGGACCTTTGTTAGCAAAGTAATGTCTCTGCTTTTTAATATGCTATCTAGGTGGGTCATAAATTCCCTTCCAAAAAGTAAGTGTCTTTTAATTTCATGGCTGCAGTCACCATTTGCAGTGATTTTGCAGCCCCCCAAAATAAAGTCAGCCACTGTTTTCACTGTCACCACATCTATTTGCCACGAAGTGATGGGAGCAGATGCCATGATCTTAGTTTTCTGAATGTTGAGCTTTAAGCCAACTTTTTCACTCTCCTCTTTCACTTTCATCAAGAGGCTCTTTAGTTCTTCTTCACTTTCTGCCATAAGGGTGGTGTCATCTGCATATCTGAGGTTATTGATATTTCTCCCGGCAATCTTGATTCCAGCTTGTGCTTCTTCCAGCCCAGCATTTCTCATGATGTACTCTGCATATAAGTTAAATAAGCAGGGTGACAATATACAGCCTTGATGTACTCCTTTTCCTATTTGGAACCAGTCTGTTGTTCCATGTCCAGTTCTAAGTGTTGTTTCCTGACCTGCATATAGGTTTCTCAAAAGGCAGGTCCGGTGGTCTGGTATTCCCATCTCTCAGAATTTTCCACAGTAATTTTTTAAAGAGAGTACAATAAAGCAAACATTGCAAAATGATAGCCAGTTGGTGAATCTGGGTGAAAATATTTTGTGTATTTATTCTACTATTCTTTCAGGTTTTCTGAAGGTTTGAAAACTTTTTTAAAAAGTCATTAAAAAAAATGGGAGCAAGGACTTGGGACTTCCTGGTGGTCCAGTGGTTAAGACTTCTATTGCAGGGGGTGCCAGATCAATCCCTCCTCAGATAGCAAAGATCCCACATGCCTTGTGGCCAAGAAACCAAAACATAAAACGAAACAATATTGTAACACATTCAATAAAGAATTTAAAATTGTCCACAGTAAAAAAAAACTTTAAAAAAAAAGAGCAAGGGCTATGGAATTCAGACTGGCTGGTTTGAATCTTGACACTGCTAACTGTAGGCTGTGTGAGCTCAAGCAAGATCCTTTACCTTTATTAGTTTCCATTCCTTCATCTAGAAAAGAGTGTAATAACATTTCTCTGTTGTAGGGTAGTCATAAAGATGAAATAATATTGTCCATATGAATTAACTACTATAATTAATTATAAGCTTGGAACTTCAACTGTTCATGGAAACATTAACTAGATGACATATCACAATCGACTGACTGATCCTAGTGGGTTGTGCCATTGTGGGGTAGGATGCCTCCCATAGAGAAGAATACAACCAGCTTGCTCCAGAATTGCCAGGCAAATTAAAAGTATGTTTGTATTTTTTTATCCCCTAGGAGGCTTATAGACTGCTAAAGGCTTCATTAAGATCTCAGGTCATCAGCTATGGTGACTTTAGTGAAAAAGTGGCTGAAACATTTTATAACATGGGCAAGATCTGCTTTGCCAAAGGAGAGCTTAGAAAGGCAGGTCAGCTGCTAAGGAAGGTAAATACTGGCTGGTTTTGTTAAATTTGCTCCCAAGCCTGTAAGCACAATGTGAGGGGAGGTGTGTGTGCGTGTGTGTGTTTTCCCTTCACTTCCTTTTCTCTCCCCTTCCTTCCTTCTTCCTTCTCACTCTTCTTCTTTTTTTAAAGTAAAGTGTTCTCTTTTAAATAATCTCCACATTGTGAGATGTGCTGAGGAAGACTATGACTACCGAAACTTTTATTGTGCCCATGCCTGGACCAGAGTCTTAAAAGAGTAACACTCTAAGCCTGAAATCTTGGTATGTCAGTAGCAGAATCTCGAAGAAGCACTCGAGGTTGTGTTAGAACAAGGAACACTTTGTACAGCCGTCCTTACTCAAGCACTGATTCCTAGTATCCTCGAAGTTTATTCCCTGAAAGTAGGATGTAGCAAGAGGTGTGACTAACAGTTGTTCAACCCGTCAGCGTACTAACAGACCAAGCTTAAGACTTAGTAAGATTGGTAGTGATGTCTCTACTTAAAACCCAGATTTGTTCAATGTCAGAGGAAAAAGTTAGTATAAATCAACTAATATTCATGAAAGTGAAAGTGAAAGTCACTCAGTCATGTCTGACTCTTTGCAACCCCATGGAGTATACAGTCCGTGGAATTCTCCAGGCCAGAATACTGGAGTGGGTAGCCTTTCCTTTCTCCAGGGCAGAATCAAAAGCAGTCCACACATGTATATTGCCAAATGTCAGGACTGGATACATTTTATCTCCTTTCCGGTTAACTAAATGTAATCAGAAAATACACATTGAAATAGTAAGTAACAGAAGAAAGGGGACTTCATTTTGAAGGTTAAGAGAAAACAAAAACCCTATGAAAATATAAGGTCACAACAGCTTCTTCAAGGGAAGGATAAACACATGACTGGCAGCTCTGTCATGGGATCATAAACCTGTAAGAAGAGAAAACTTTAAAATGAAAGGATCACAGTTTGAGACCAAAAGATGAGATGAAAGTAAATTTTTAAGGGTGAATTAAGGAATTTCAGGAAAACAAGAAATTTGAAACAATGCAATCCAGATTGAAAATATTGAGGAGAATCTTAACATGCTGAGTGTTGTTGAGCAATATTCCCCAAATCTAGGATTGCGACAGAACAAAACAAATTTGAAAAACAAAATAAAACGAAACAGAAAACAGATTCCTGAGTCCCACCCCAGACTATTAAATCAGATATTCTAAGACTGGTGTCCAGAATCTGTATTTTTAATCCTCTTTAGCCAAAGAATTCTAATGTATTTCTGAAGAGAGACTGTAATATCAATACTTGAAATAGGAACAGTAATTAAAGAAATCATTGAAGATAACTTTTCTGAATCGTAAAAGACCACATTGTAAGGGCTTGCTTACCATGTTCCACACAAAATCAATGAAAGGAGAGCCCCAGCTAGATCTTACCTAGCAATGAAGGCCCTGCCCTCCATTTAGAATAGGGATTCAACCTGAATCTTTGTTTGGATGCCAGACGTTGTGTATTTTACATTGTTGAGCGTTGGCTATTTTTGTGTTCCTGTAAGTATTCTTGAACTTTGTTCTGAAACTCAAATTACTTTGTTGTGAAATTCAGTTACATTGGAGTCTGGTCCTTTTAGGTCTTGCTTTTAAGATTTATTAGGTGGGACAAGGGCTCATTTAGTCAAGGGCTACTTATCCCCCGTTACTGAAGCAAAAGCCTCAATACCTCCGAGTAGCCCACCCAGTGCTCCACGACAATGTGGCTTTCCAGTTTGGCTGGTGGGAACAGGCATTGTACCTCGCTGTATGTAAAGACTGCCCTGTTCCCTCTGGGACCTGCAGATGATTCTTTTCTCAAGCCTTGGGTAGTTTTTACATGTCTGTGTTAATCAGTACTCTCCTGAATACAGCTGTCCCTCTATGTCTGTGAGGGATTGGTTCTAGAACTCCCCACCTGCCCTCTTTGCCAACACCAAAGTCTGCAGATGCTCACGTCTCTAGTATAAAATGATGTAGTACCAAAAAAAAAAAAAAAAAATGGTGTAGTGCAGTCAGCCCCACTATACCTGCAGGTTCCCAGACTGTGGGTCAGCTATATTTGAAGGGGATGTACTGCAGATACAGATATTCTTTTTCTGTGCAGCTGTCTCTCCTCTGTTACTCTGCCCTTAAGAATTTTCTGAGAGTCTGAGCTCCATATCCTCAATTCAGGGTGCTTGCTGAGCTCATCACTTCCCTGCATCAAAGCTTGGAGAGGCTCTCAAAGTAGTAATCTGGGGAAGTCGTAGGGTTTACTTCACTTGTTTTCCGTCTCTCAGGAACACCGTCTTTTGTTGCCTGATGTTCACTGTCTTAAAGATGGTTTCAAATATATTTTGTCTACTTTTTCTTTTTTGATTGTTTCATTTGGGTGGGTAAATCCAGTCCCTGCAATTCCATCTTGATTGGATAGAGAGATCAGCAGTTAAGTTTACAATGGAAAACTGCTTAAGGGTAAAGTTATGTAGCATAAGAATGCAATGCTAATTTGGGACTCATACACTGATTTAGTTTATATCCATCCATTTGGGACAGCTATTTGGAAAATCCTGATGGAAACCATGGCTGTAATTCTGGTGGAGACCACTCTGGGTTTTAGATAGGCATGCTGTCAATTTTCCGGAGAAGGCAATGGCACCCCATTCCAGTACTCTTGCCTGGAAAATCCCATGGATGGAGGAGCCTGGTAGGCTGCGGTCCACGGGGTCGCTAATGGTTGGACACGACTGAGCAACTTCACTTTCACTTCTCACTTTCCTGCATTGGAGAAGGAAATGGCAACCCACTCCAGTGTTCTTGCCTGGAGAATCCCAGGGACAGGGGGGCCTGGTGGGCTGCCATCTATGGGGTTGCACAGAGTCGGACACGACTGAAGTGACCTAGCAGCAGCAGCAACTGTCAATTTTCAGGCCTGTTACTTTGGTTATCTGTAGCCACGGATGGTAGCGGAAGCTTCAGCAAATCTGAAGGGAGAAGCTCAGGGGGGTCAGAGCCTTCAGTTCAGACTCCTTCCTCCTTGGTAGGGAACCAGGAGGAAATGAACTTCAGTCCTTTGAAATGTAAACCTGTGACATCTCAGTTCCACTTGTGCTCTCCCGAGTTTGGTTTGTACTTAAGGTGCTTGCTATCTGATTCTCTTTAACCTATTATGTTTCTCAACTTGCCTGCAGTGTCTGATGATTCAAATCCTCATATATGGAGATGAGCACAGTAAAAGCAGGGACACAAAAAATCTCCTGACCCTAATGCAGAGGTGAGTTCTGGTCCTGATCATCAGCCAGGTCTTCAGTGTGGCTATACAGATAGCATGGCCTCTCCCAGATTCATTTATTTGGGGTGATTCACCTCTATTATTCCTGTTAGTTAGGCAAAGTGCCAACCTGTACTTTGGATGAGGTCAAATTCTAACCCGGAGGTACCTCGCCAATTTCTAGTAGTATTTCGAACCCAAAGCTATAGGGGTCTGCTGAAAAAATATTTAGTATTTATATCTCCTTCAATACTGAGTATTATAACCAAATCCCACAAGACTGTCTCAGCTAACAGCATGACAGATACAAATTAGATTTATGACAAAGTAAGTGAATATATTAACTTATTTTTCTTGCTGAATATATAAAATCTAAGTCCCTAAACATAAGGCAAGTTTCACAGGGGGCAGGAAATATTAATAGTTGTCTCCAAAACTAATAATTAAAGAATCTCTTCAGATTCATTTTAAAAAATGCTTAAAATTTCAGCCAAAAACAGTGTTTTGTGCCTACCTGCCCCTATATTTATCCTTGGCATATCATTACTGTTTGTTCATTTCAGAATGATGTTGATCCTGAACTGTTCTCTTTTGTTGAGTGTGTGTTAAATCCCTGAAGCTGAGCTAGGTCCTATCCATAAAGAACCTAAGCCTCACAAACACCCTGCATGATAGCTCTCGTTTGCCAGAAGGAGCCTGACATTCTATAAAGGAACATGCTTAAATTCATGTAAGTCTTGGAGGTTAGATCCAAGCAAGTGTGATCTAAAGGCCGTGTGCTTTCCCCTTAGAGCCCTTTAACAAAGAAGGGTGTCATTACGGGGTGAGAGTTAGGATTCTGATTGCATTTCATTGGAGGTGATTCGTAGTTAGTACTTTCTCATCAGGCTGGCTTGGGGGGTTGGAGACAAGCTGGGCACAGAGAATTCATGTAGCCCGTCTTGTCCCCATCTATCTCAGTCAGAGCCACACCTAAAGGAGGCCCAGCAGAAGACTGTCTCATGTTTCATCTTACCCAGGACAGCACGTTTTCTAGCCTCTCTCAGAGATGCACATGGTAGGAAGGGATATGGGGAACTCTGCCCCCTGCCCACTGGTGTATGTGAAAGTATGTCTTAGTCAGTAACCATCAGTTCAGTTCAGTTGCTCAGTTGTGTCCGACTCTTTGTGAATCCATGGACTGCAGCACGCCAGGCCTCCCTGTCCATCACCACCAGCTCCTGGAGCTTACTCAAACTCTTGGCCATTGAGTCAATGATGCCATCTAACCATCTCATCCTCTGTCTTCCCCTTCTTCTGCCTTCAATCTTTCCCAGCTTCAGGGTATTTTCAAATGAGTCAGTTCTTTGCATCACGTAGCCAAAATATTGGGGTTTCAGCCTCAGCATCACTCCTTCCAACGAATATTCAGGACTGATTTCCTTTAGGATGGACTAGTTGGATCTCCTTGCAGTCCAAGGGACTCTTAAGAGTCTTCTCCAACACCACAATTCAAAAGCATCAACTCTTCAGCACTCAGCTTTCCTTATGGTCCAATTCTCACATCCATACATGACTACTGGAAAAACCATAGCTTTGAATAGATGGACCTTTGTTGGCAAAGTAATGTCTCTGCTTTTTAATATGCTGTCTAGGTTGGTCATAGTTTTTCTTCCAAGGAGCAAGCGTCTTTTAATTTCATGGCTGCAGTCACCATCTGCAGTGATTTTGGAGCCCAAAAAAATAAAGTCTCTCACTGTTTCCCCATCTATTTGCCATGAAGTGATGGGACCAGATGCCATGATCTTAGTTTTCTGAATGTTGAGTTTTAAGCCAACTTTTTCACTCTCCTCTTTCACTTTCATCAAGAGGCTTTTTAGTTCCTCTTCACTTTCTGCCGTAAGTGTGGTGTTATCTGCATATCTGAGGTTATTGATATTTCTCCCGGCAATCTTGATTCCAGCTTGTGCTTCATCCAGTCCAGCATTTCTCATGATGTACTTTGCATATAAGTTAAATAAGCAGGGTGACAATATACAGCCTTGACATACTTCTTTCCTGATTTGGAACCAGTCTGTTGTTCCATGTCCACTTCTAACTGTTGCTTCCTGACCTGCATACAGATTTCTCAAGAAGCAGGTCAGGTGGTCTAGGTATTCCCAACTCTTTAAGACAGTTTGTTGTGATCCATACAGTCAAAGGCTTTGGCATAGTCAATAAAGCAGAAGTAGATGTGTTTCTGGAATTCTCTTGCTTTTTCGATGATCTGGCAGATATTGACAATTTGATCTCTGGTTCCTCTGCCTTTCCTAAATCCAGCTTGAACATTTGGAAGTTCTCAGTTCACATACTGTTGAAGTATTGCTTGGAGAATTTTGAGCATTACTTTGCTAGCACATGAAATGTATGCAGTTGTGTGGTAGTTTGAGCATTCTTCGGCATTGCCTTTCTTTGGGATTGGAATGAAAACTGACCTTTCCCAGTCCTGTGGCCACTGCTGAGTTTTCCAAATTTGCTGGCCTATTGAGTGCAGCACTTTCACAGCATCATCTTTTAGGATTTGAAATAGCTCAACTGGAATTCCATCACCTCCACTAGCTTTGCTCATGGAGATGCTTCCTAAGGCCCACTTGACTTCGCATTCCAGGAAGTCTGGCTCTAGGTGAGTGATCACACCATCGTGATTATCTGGGTCATGAAGATCTTATTTGAATAGTTCTTCCAATGTTCAGAAACCATAAGAACATTAATAATAACTATAATGTAGAACTTATTCCAGTCCGCTGGTGTTATAAAATACATATACTATTTCTGACTCATAAATAACCCAATTCGGTAGGTATTTTTATCTTTCACATTCAGGTGGTGAAACTGGTACTCAGAAAGTTTGAGTATCTTGTTTAAAATCATCTAGCTGTAAGTGTGGTAAGATTTGAATCCGGATCTGTCGTATTTTAAAAATGTACTGCCTTTCAGTCTGTAACAGGGATTCTGACTTTGAGGAATTTGAGAATACATATGGGGGCACGTGGCCAGCAGGCATATCCCCAGAGTCTCATTTTACATATGGTGGGACTGAGGACAGATAATGTTCAAGTTAAATTACCCAGGAGTAGGAAGAGCTGGGATGTGAATGTGAACGTAGCTCTCACTAATTCCAGAATATGCCCTTCATATGCAAAGTAGCTTACTCTCTGAAGGCAGGCTGTCTGGGTTTAAATCAGGCTCCATCACTCAGCTCTCTGACCTGGGTAAAGTTACTTAACCTCTCTCAGCCTCTATTTATTCATCAGTAAAATGACAGTACCTCCCTTGAAAAGTGGATTTTCTGAGACTTAATAAGATCACACATAATACAGCACTTAGATCAGGGCCTGACAGGTCTTGAGTACTCAGTGAATGTTGGCATAATAAAATTATAATAAGAATTATCTTTCTGAGATGCTGGAGATAATAGATGAGATATCACTGATTACTTCCCAGGTGGTGCTAGTAGTAAAGAACCCACCTGCCAGTGAGGGAGACGTAAGAGACTCAGGTTCTATTACTGGGTTGGGAAGATCCCCTGGAGGAGGGTATGGCAACCCACTCCAGTATTCTTGCCTGGAGAATCCCATGGACAGAGGATCCTGGCGGGCTACAATCCATAGGATTGCAGAGTCGGACACGACTGAAGTGACTTAGCATGCAAGCGTGATGGATAAAGAGTATATATTGCTAGAGTCAGCCCTGTCATCTTAACCTGCCTCTGCCACTTATTAAGTACACAACCTTGGGAAAATCACTTAACTTCTGAGCCTTGCTTTCTCCATCACTAAAATGCAGATAATAGTATATCACATAGAGTTATTGTGAGTTTTAAATAAAATAATGTATATAACATGCATAGGCTAGTGCCTGACAGAGTATGTACTCAGTAAATGTTAGCAAAGCATCCTTTCCTCCCCATTATTCTGTAATATACAACCTTTTGCTTCTAGGGAAGTGGGTCAGAGTATTTGAAATTGTAACTGTGATTAATTGTTAGACAGGATTACAATATGTTTGTGTTTGAGAATTAGATTGAGAATTTGGATCTGAACATACTAAAGTACACTTTGTACTTTAGAGGTAATAATAATGAAACTAAAAGAATAAAACACGTAGTTTCAGACAAGAAATGCATGTTTCCTCAAAACTGAAAGCAAAAGTTCTACTCAGCTTGTATTTAAAAAGAGAAACCTCAGAATAGCTGGAATGAATCCATTGCCTCAGTAGCCTGAGGTCACTTTCCACCTCCGAGTCTGTGTTCCTTGTCCTCCGTGATTTGAAAAGAATCATAGGAGGGCGAGAAAGTAATAGGCATTGGAATAACCCAATTCAGATCCCAGGTAGTATGAATTTCTTTTGGTTCTTGGAGACTAATTCCTCTCTCTGTAAATTCATTGAAACCTAGACATATCAGGAAAGCACATGGAAGGAGAAGGATCTTAAGGACTCTGCTATAGCAGAAGTCAAGTCAGTAAAGGTTTCTTTCCCTGAAACAAGTCCATATCTCATCCCTCACGAACTGCTGAGCAAAGCCATAGAAGTGGCTGCCAAAGCCCAGATGTCAAAAAAAAAAAAAAAAGAGAGAGAAAAAAAAACCCCCCAAAAAACCCCAGTCCAGGAATTGTTCTCTGCGCTGAGCATCTTGCTGGGATAATCAGCCCCAGATGTCCTGGAACTCTGCTAGTTTTCCGATGTGCTCTTGTACTTTCTACCCCACCTCCTCCGGAAACCCAGTGACAACATTCACTGGGCTTTCGTTGCCAGGAGCCCAAATTCCTGGCTTCTGCAGCCTCTGCAAAGCAGTGAAAGCAGAACTGGCTGCATGAATTAGGAGTTAATTCCAAGGTTAAGAGTTTCTTAGTTGCATGGGCCTCAAGTAAGATCTTAGTGTATAGAAAAGGTGCAGAAAATCTGATTTAAAAGTAAACATTGAGATTGTTTAGTCTGACTTTTACCTAAATCACAAATGGATTTCAGTTTTAATCATTTATATATCAAGCTCCCTCTAAGCTCTAGAAATACTCAGATGTTTAAGATATAGTCCTTTCAAGAAAACAGACACACTGGACCAGATTACAAGTTAGTCTGCAGTAAAGCTTTAAGAAAAATGTAAACAGAGGACAAGTAATAAATTGTGACCCTGAAAATGTAGGTGGAGACTTGTTTTTATGCTGTGGGCAGGGGGCTGGGTCTTCAAAGAAAAGTAAAATATCCAAAGGTAGGAAAGCCAACGGTGGGCATTTGATGTAACATGACCAACAGCATAGTGCCATGGAGAAGCTTGATATTTCTGAGGAAAAGCAAGTGGCCTTGAGTTGTTGTAGTCGGAGGTATATGAGTAAGACTCATTGGAAAAGATCCTGATGCTGGGAAAGATTAGGGCAAGAGGAGAAGAGGGCGTCAGATGACAAGATGGTTGGATGGCATCATCGACTCAATGAACATGAGTTTGAGCAAGCTCTGGGAGGTGGTGAAGGACAGAGAAGCCTGGCGTGCTGTGGTCCATGAGGTCGCAAAGAGTCAGACATGACTTCGCAACTGAACAATAAGAACATGTTGGAGATGTTTGGGAAGATAAATTGGGGTCCTATTACACAATGTGTATGTGCCATGCTGATGAGTTTAGAATTTATTCTGTAGGCAGAAGATAACTATCAAAAAATTTTGAGCAGGATGTGCCATGATCAAGTACTGGCTTTGGAACATTAACTGTCAGCCCTGGGAAGGATGGATGGGACCTGGGGAGACCACAGAAGTAGGGAGACCAGTTAGGAGGCAGATGCAATAGTGCAAGGGAGAGATGTTGAGAGCCTTAATTATCTAAAACCATAGTAGAAGGAACATGGAGAAGATGGGAGTTGAGAGCAATTTGGAGTCTCAAATTGGCAAGACCTTGAAACCAATCACATGTGAGGTATAAGAGAGTCAGGGGCCCATTCAAAGGTGGCTTTGAAGTTTCTAGCTTGAGCAACTTGTTGAATGGCCATGCTATTAAGGAAAGCATATTGGCAGGACAAGGTCATCTTGGAGGATGTATAGTGGGTCTGGAGAAGATAATTTCCATTTTGGATGTCTTAAGTTTGAGGTGCCCATAATACATCTACTTGACAATGTCTAATAAGACAGTTTCTGGTATGGACCAGAAACTCGAGATATATTAGAAGTTAAAGGAATGGATAAGAAATCCATGGATTATGTGTATGTCAAACAAGAAAACGTAGGAACTTTGGAGAATATTTACACTTGCTTTGGAGAGAACATATGTGGTATTTTTTAATCAAAATAGAGACAGCTCAAGAGTGAGTTCCCCACTTACGGAGAGACATCCTGCATCTTCCTTTCTTCATCTAAAGAAATGCAAATAAGAGAACTCTGTTTTATAGGTTTTATTTACTGTATGGCACATAGTAAGCTTCTGTGAAATGTTAATTATTGTAATTATTATTATTATATTATCCAGGAGTCATTCAGAAGGAGGAACTGGGAAGGAGACTCAGAAAGAGTCTTCAGAGAATTAGAAGAGTCAGGAAAAAACAGAAAGGAACTCACTGGAGGAGAAAGTTTCAGAAAAGGGTGTGGTCTTTAGCAATGTCACAAAAGACACGAAGGGGCAGTTCAAAGAAGAGGGATGCAGTTGTCCAATAAACAGCAGGATTTCCAATCTCATACAGACTTTATAAATTCAAATGAAATATACTTAAAACCTATTATGTTGTGTGGTAGGGGCTTCCCAGGTGGCACCATGATAGAGAATCCACCTGCCAACAACAGAGGATGCAGGAGATACGGATTTGATCCCTAGATTGGGAAGATCCCCTGAGAATGGAATGACTGCCCAATCCAGTATCCTTGCCTGGAAAAGTCCATGGACAGAGGAACCTGGTGGGCTACAGTCAATGGGGTCACAAAGAGTTGGACACGACTGAGCACACATGCAAGAATATTTGTGATAATGAAAAGTACAGGTCATATAAACTCAGCCCTGTCAAAGATATGGGGAGATCAGCTATCTAGTACCCTATGATGAAACTGTGGATTGATACATATAACTATATATCTAGCTGGATAGGGCTTCGCTGGTGGCTCAGTGGTAAGGAATCCACCTGCCAATGCAGGAGATGGGGGTTTGATCCCTGTGTCAGGAAGATCTCCTGGAGGAGGAAATGGCTACCTCCAGTATTCTTGCCTGGAAAATTTCACAGAGGAGCCTGGCCGGCTACAGTCCATGGGCTCACAAAGAGTTGAACACAACTGAGCAACTCACACACACACACACACACACAAATCAGGAACTCATTATCTCTCCAGGTGGCCTTTTCCAATAATAGACAGTTCTAATTGTTAGAATGCAAGGTCATGAACTTGAGAGTCAGACAGACCTCTGTTTGAATCCAGGCTCCTCCACTTTCTGTGTGCCATAAGGCAAATTATCCTAAGCCACGGTTTTCTCTAAGGAGGATTATAATAGCATCTATAATAAGGAAAGATAATAAAGAGTAAATGAGATTATTCACATTAAAAAATGTAGCACTGCATCTCATATATAGTAAGTGCCCAATAAATAGGAGCTATTTTTGCAACTCTAGCTGGTCACCCATACTTACTGGAAGTATGAAGGCATGGATCATTAACTTCAACTTTGTCCTTGTTAACCATCTCTAGGAGAGCTGCATGCTGAAAAATTGCTTTTGAATAACTTTCAATGGCTCTTAAGCTGTAGAAGACAACAGAAGGATCCTTTTCTCTTGATAGGAGGGGAAAGGAGGAGAGTACCTCAATGCCCATTAACCTATTAGTGATCTATTATCTTCTTGGTCAAAAATCTTTGTGAACAAAAACCGCCTTTTCTGGGCTGAGGGACTAGGGAGACAAAGCCAAAGAAAAGTAGGATGGAAAAAAAAAAAAAAAAGGATTTGGGGGTGTTTATTTCCAGAGAAAATTGCAGTAAGTAGAACAGTGGATACGCTCAGTAAATTTTGTGTCAGCCAGACTAGTCTTGGGCAAGACCTTAGTGATGAAAGTTATGCTCCACAAGCTAGATTGTTTCCAGGCTACTGCATTCATATTCTTTCCCTATCATTAGTGTATACATTCTACTGCTGCCTCTACAAAATTAAAGGAGAAAATATTCTGCCAGACCTTGGTGTATGAGTGGGTGGGGAGCAAAATCTGCTCTAACATCCAGGTGCCCAGGGGCGGTGGCCTTTCCAAATTAGGATTCTGGGGACAGCTAGCAACACTGGGACCAGTAGAGCAGTGAACATTTGGAGCATTTAGCTCCCATACGAGGGTCTCCGTGGAGGGGAACAGAGGCTGCTAAGTCACAAAGAGCCAACTTGGGGTACTTGGTCTTTGGTAGTGCATCAGGGGAACTTAATCAGTGGCCCACAAAAATGGAATGACAGGAGGTAGAGCGTGAATGGTGCAAGGAAAGCAAGTATATTTCACCACCTGGGCCCACTCTGGTAGTGATTTCCTGGAGTGCTGCTTGAAGTTCCAGAGCAAAAGGCTAGGTTTGGTGGAGCTTGATTTATCATCATCTGCCGTGGGGCATGGGTTGGGGAAGAGCTAAACTTCTGTGACGGATTTGCGATTTATGCACAGAGTAAAGAGCAGTGTACCTTGAGTCCAGACATCTTGTATGCGAGTCCCAACTCTGCTATGAGATAGCTACGTGACTTTTAAGTAGCCTAAACATCCTGAGCCTCACTTTTCCTCATCTTCAACATTCCTTCAACAAATGTATCTGGTGAGCATCTACTAAATCCTAGGTGCAGTTAGAGCTGCAGGTGGTAAATAAATAAAGATAACTAAAACATGGCCATTACTGTTAAGGTGACAACTGTCTAGTGCAAGAGATAAACATGAAAATAATGAAAACATGAAATACAGATTCTGTAGTAGAAGTCTCAGTGCACTAGGAGCAGCAAGGAGAGAACATCTGAGGAATCTGGAGAAGACTTCATAGAGAGGGTTACATTTGAGTTGTTTCTTGAAGGGCGAGTAACAGTTCATCCAGATGGAGAAGAGAAGACATCCCAGGAAGAAGGCACTCTCTATGCAAAATCTCAGAGGCCTGACAGAGGGCAGCATTTGGAAGGAATGGTGAGTTCTTCATGGCTGCTCTATGGGGCAGCATTTCCTAAACGGTACTGTAAGCAATGTTGATTCCAAGGGACGGAGGAGGAAGAAAGGCTCTGTGGCAGAAAGTGTAGGAAGAAACCAAATTGAATTACACAAAGTGACACACGTTTATTTCCTGAAGTACTTCCCAGAACTTTTTACACACTAAACTTCCCCCACTGGCATGTTGGGAAGAAATTAACTTTTAAAACACCACTGTATTTATATTTACCTGAATTCTTTGTAAACTGGTCAGTGATATAAATTTTGGCAAATAAAACCTTATTTAGAACCACAGAGATAATATCTTAGGTCTAGTTTTATTTAAAGCAAAAGGTAAATATAGCACATGTTTGAACTGAGGGTACATGAACACTTTGGCAGTTTGGTAACAAATTTGGTTCCTGCTTTAGGGCATAATAACTTCTTTATGAAAGATGACTATCTCACCAGTGAACTATTTTACCTGATCATAGAAACATGACTTCAACACAGCCTGATGAACTAATTTTTCTTTATGATTCATGGTGGTTAAGAGCTCTAGGCATGGAGACAGGACTGTTCAGACCCCAGCACCACCACTTTCTAGCTATGTATAATTCTGGTTTTCTCATCATAAGATGGGGATAACAGTACCTATCTTTTAGTGTTGCTGCAAAAATGAGATAATGTGTGTAAAGTGGTTATCAGGTAATAAATGACAGTTATTTTCGTATTTACTGAAACCTGGGCTTTGACTTTATCACCTTCTAGCTATACCATTGGCAGTGAAGGAAAATCAGACAGGGGCTAGGCACTACAAAGCTACTGTGAAGCTGGTGTGGAAAACATCTTGCCTGTTAACAGCTCAGAAGTGAGGTAGAGCTCACCCCTGGAAACACTGTATCATAGAGAAGAGAGTCTAACACAGTTTCTTAAATGCACAGATGATGCATCCATTGTATCAGCCAGAGGCCTTTCAGTGACCTGATTTCAGGAAAGGGGACTCCTGCCATCATGTGGCGAGAGAGAGCGAGGCCCAAGGTTGGTTTCTAGTTGCAGTCCCTAGCAGAGAGCCCTCTCAGATCTCTGCCCACCCCTGATTTTATGAGACCCCTGGGCAATTGATTTAATTTGTACCTACTTTTTTTTTTCAAATTTGGAATCATATCATCTCTTGGTTTACTGATCAGGAAATTAAAGTGCCAGATAGCTTTCTGTATTTTATATGGTCCAGTAGGAGACAGAATGAACCAGTCTTTACTGGGGCTTGCATATAAAAAAAAAAAAACCCTCAAGTTGCTCATAAAATTTTATATCTCATATTTCTGTGGAACGGATTTGTTTTCAGGCAAATGGGGCTGTGAAAACCACACTTGTTGCAGGCTTGAGGTCTAAATAGGAGGTGACTGAGGAACACTTAATAGAAACCGGGTTTCTGGATCAGAAAATCTCTTGGACTAGACTACTTCTAGTTCCAGGCCAACTTCTCCAGAATCAGGCAACCAGCGTATGGAAATCTTAAAGGCTGGGAATGAGGATGACAGATCCTCTTTTTAGCAATTACAGTGCCTCTGGGCTCTAATCTCTGTGCTCATGAGGAGGAATCACCTGAAAAGCACAAACAATATACAAAAGGCCCTAAGTTAGGTAATTTTTTTTTCAGCTGTGATTAAATGCAATCCAGATATCTTAGATACACCCCTCACCTGCTGTCTGAATCAAAGGAAGTCCCCTGCTCTTTAGGGAGAAAACCTAAGACTCTAGTACCATTTTGGAGGCCCTTTAGCAGAGTTAGCATTTTAGGGGGATAGTCACTTGGTAAAATAGTTGCCTCAGACTGAGTTCAGCCTTCTAGCTCAATAAGGCAGTGATTGGTGCTAGAAAGAGGGAGAGATGTCAAAAACCAAGAAAAAAAGGCACAAATGGTTTTCTCCTTTCCTCTAGGTCTTCTGTTATCAGTAAAGGGAAAACCTCTATACAGAATAGTCAACAATAAAGCCAACCTGTTGATAACAAGCATTCTTGACCACAAATATATTTACCAACACCGATAGCAGTGGCAGATCAAAAGCAGAACCAAGGATTCTGGCGGGGGGGAAAGATACATTTAACAAGGGCATTACAGGTAAAATACATATGGCCATTAGAAACCACGATTCTGTTACCTGAGAGGAAGGAATCTTTTTTAGACACATGCTTTAAGTTAGTTTCACATATCACTGGGACTCCCATTACCTTCCATTTCCGCTTTTCTAATTTCATTCTTTCCCATTCTGACTTTTAAAAAAAGTTCTGCAGTGCATAAGTAGTTTATGCATGAGCATTTTAATACAGTACTTGTAAACATCTTTAGCCATAACCTCTTTGGGGTCCCTAAAATTGCTTTGTGAGGAAATGTTTGACCTTCTGGAAGACTGACCTAACCTGGTCTACTGAAGTCATACCATGTTAGAGCCATAGGCCTTTTTGATTTTCGTAAATGAAGAAAACAGGGACAAGAGGGATTGATTCATTCACGGTCAGTCTAGTGACTATAAAGCAGATAGTCACCTGAATCACAGCTTTCCATCCTGCTTTGCTGCCCCTACCGACTGGATTAAAAAGACTTGGGAATGGAATGCTCACCAAGGTTGTTAAAAAAGAAGCCCCGAACGGGCTTCTCTGGTGGCTCAGACGGTAAAGAATCTGCCTGCAATGCGGGAGACCTGGGTTGGATCCCTGGGTTGGGAAGATCCTCTGGAGAAGGAATGGCTACCCACTTGAGTATTGTGGCCTGAAGAATTCCATGGACAGAGGAGCCTGGTGGGCTACAGTCCATGGGGCTGCAGAGTCAGACATGACTGAGAGACTTTAAAAAAAAAAAAAAGGCCCTGAACCAGTGTGTATCTAGGAAATTGGCAGTCTCAAATCATATTCCTTTGTGTGTCGAGGGACAGAGGAGAAATCAGATTGTTTGTACTATAGCTTTTATTTTTCCCTTGTTATCGCTCCTCAGTTACCTGAGCTGATTTAGTGGAGCTCAAACACCTGTGTTTTTGGGATCCACGTGTGTTCCTAAGAACATTTCTATCACTCATCAGTGCTTATACAACCACATCTTGGTTCTTCATTCAAGAGAGTAGTTTCTCATTTCATTCTGTTTAGTCTGTAAAACCTAGTAACCAGCCAGTATCCACAGTATTAGTAGTGAGCAGTGTTCTGCTGTGGCAGGAGGACATACATACCGATTTATCCGGTGGTCTGGCCATAGACTGCTCGGCTTCCTCCTGCTAGCTGCCGCTCTCCCTCAGCTGATTCCAAGAGTGCTTTAAGTCTGGCACCCAGGAGCAGGGTTTCCGCTTACAGCTCTGGCCGAAGGCACCTATATTCCACTGACCTTCTCTGCAAGTACTTATAAACTAGTCACTCAGTGACTCACTGCAGATTTTAGCCTTGCTTGGAGATGGGACTCATGTTCTTGTCCAGAATATGCTGAGTTGACTAAAGCAGCCTCAGAAGAGTGGCTTCTGTTTTCACACACGCAGTTGAAAACAGGTTTTCAACAATGACTGTGATAAAAACAAAGTGTTAGGAGTGCTACTTAGACTCCATTTTGGGTGGCACTAAAATTTTACTATTTTGTGAGGTCCCAAACTCTTAACATTTCCAAACCAACAAACCTCTATCAATGAAACAATAGCATAAAGTATTACACTGTAAAATAAAACATTATTGTGTAACCCAGTTGTCTCATTTGAAATTACTTTTAGTATCTCCAGTTTTTGTTGACAGTATAAAATTCCCACCTGTCCCCTGAGATTTTGATTTTAAAATGTTTTATGAAATGGTTTTAATATCCTCATATCTGAAAAAATAGAAAGCTGCCATCTACCTTGGTTCTAAAAGTTTAAAAATGCTACTGTTAAAAAAAAAATTTAAAAAAAATAAATAGAAATGTTACTGTTTTGTGAAATCCCTAAGTTTTAAGAAACCATATTGGAAATGTTCAGCACAATACAGCTTAATATAAAGTTTCACTCTTGGAAAACGAGCTGAGAGCTAAGCTCCTTTCTAAACTCATTCAGTGGGAAGCAGCAATCTGGACAACCAATCAAAACACCTGAGGCTTCCAGCCACCCTAGTCCATAAGGTCATACACAACTTATACATTCCTTTAGTTACTGGCCGCTGAAATTTCTGAGATAGATGAGGGTTAGCTACTTTCTTTTAGTCCCTGTAACTGAATTAGAGGGAAAACAAACAAAACCAAGTCCAGCTCAAACTCTCCCACATATGCATTTTAATAAATGTTCAATAGCAAGCACAGAGTTTATGCAACCGGTTCTGTAAGTTCAGTGATGCCTTACCACTATGTGTTGGCAGTTCACCCATCACGTTGCATTAAAGGTCCACTTGAGGCAAACCTGACAATATTCCAGAGATGGGACTGTCCTAATCCAATCAGCAAGAAGCAACAGAAATCCCTGGATAAATGGCAGGAAGTAAAAGTCAAGCCTCAGGCACCAGCCCTAAGGGTACAGACTACAGGCCTCACTAGATTCTTATATTCTTCCTATAAAGGGATGGGGAACTACTCTGAAATAATTTAGTTCACATATCCTGAATACCTCTAGTTTTACCAATGAGAGCCACTACTATTAACTAGGAGTTACATCCAGTCAACGAGCTATGAATTTCAAAAAGATAACCTACTCCAAACATTTACTCTTTTATTGAGGCTTCTGAAATGACTGAGATATGGATGCCAGGAACACCCATAATAGCTGCCTGGGGCATTTCTGATTAGAGGCTGAGCTGTCCACTGCTGGAGAGGAAAACCCACGGTAGAGCTGCTAACTGCTGCAGGAGAGCATGTAACCTGACACACGTATAAAAATGCTACAAATACGAACTCGGGAAAAGAGAAAACACTATTCCCAACTCCTCAGGACCCAACAGATTTCGTCTCAGGTGGGGACAAGAGGCAGCAGTATGAAGATGGAAAGGGGGAAGGGGAGTCTATGTAGTTCTGAACCCCCCTACCCACCCTAAGCTACAGGGGCTGCCACATGCTGCCCTTTCAGCAATGGTAACTAATACTTAGCAGGACTTGAGAGTATCACAGAAACTGTGTAGCTTCTTGTAAAAAAACAAAACAAAACATGTATTATAAGACTTATTTTTATTACAACAGTAAAATTTAACATTTTTGTTTTGAATCATTTCATCAGTTCTAGGTGGAAGCACATCATAAGTAGGGAATAAACTAATTTAAAATAGAAAAAAATAGCTACTGTAAGTACAATTTTATTAGAAAGAATATGAGGTAAACTTCAAAAAGGCAGAGCTAAATCTTAGTCTTTTGTGACACATGAATTCAGTTTATAGTCACCAAAGCATCTGCGTTGCCCAAGGAAGCGCTCCCCCCAGTGGTCTCTCATAGGAACTTGAACAAAGTTAAGCTAGCAATAATCGATTAGGGAGTCAAACAGAACACACTAACTAGAAAATTCTTTATTAAATCATATCTTGATTTACGGTGACTGAGAAAGAATTACATTTATTAGCTTCTGAATTCTAAGTAACTCAAGATACGTTCAGCTGAAATAGTAGTCTTAAATGTGCAAAAATATTTAATCATAGGTTCAACTTTCTTTTTTTTTTTTTTCTTTTTTCGATAGGTTCAACTTTCATAGTGACTAATAACCTGAAAGTGGAGGTCCTTTTATCTGATGAATATTTAACTCTATCCTGGCACTATTTTAGATACTAGACATGCCAATGGAAAAAAACCAAGTAACTTTCCAATTTTAAATTTAAAGGAAAATTGTAGTCCTTGAAATGTTTACTGATTAAGTATTTTCATAATTATGTTTTAGACGTGTTTTGTTCGTAATGCTTATCAAGACAAAAAAAATCTGGACATTTGGCAGATTCAATCATTTCCTTCTTGAACACATCCTATAACTTTATAAAACTCCAGTGACTTTTGTACCAGCTGGGCATCCCGAGATTGCCTGGGAGACTTAACCAGTTATCGGGCATTCACCCTGGGCTAGATACCCAGCACTGCACGAGTCGAACAGGTATCTGGGAGCAGCACCTACGTGCCCACCCACTGAGATATGCCTTGGTTTGGTTGAGAAACTTTAAAAAAAAAAATTATTTTTGGTTGTACTAGGTCTTCGTTGTGTGCAAGCTATTCTCTGGTTGCAGAGCACAGGCTCTAGGGCACGTGAGCTCAGCAGCCACGGCTCCCAAGCTCTAGAGTATAGGCTCAGCACTTGTGGTACACGGGCATAGCTGCTCCACAGAATGTGGGGTCTTCCAGGATCAGGGGTGGAGCCTCTGTCTCCTGCATTGGCAGGTGGATTCTTTACCACTGAGCCACGTGGGAAGCCCTGGTTGAGGAACTCTTACAGGCAAATAGAAGGTATCTAATAAGTACTTACTACAATGAATGGTTTTCAGAACACGATGAAAATCTGTAATTCTGAAGACTTTTATATCATGTTCATAGATGCCTTCAAAATGTAAATAAATCATATAATTATTCAGACTTGTTTGGTGACACCTAAACTTCAGAACACTTGCAAAGACATCACCTGTAAAAGCAGTCACTTCAATGCAATCAAAATGCTATTTTAAAAATTATCCTTTAAAACAGTGGTTCTTAAACTTTAGCAAGGACCAGAATCTCTGGGGCGGGGAGGGCGAAGCGGGGGGAAGCTGTTTAAACTACTTATGCTTGCCCCACCCCCAGAGTTCCTGACAAGTTTCCAGGTGGTCTACGCATGACACTCTGAGAACCACTGCTTTATGACAGAGTCTCCAGAATTCCAACTTGGAAGTGATGCCCATATGCTGTTGCTTTTTCTAATAGTAAATAAATAAAAGGACATTTCTGATATGGCTTCACCAAACTTCAAATTTTTATACCCTTGGAATGTCCTACTTAAGTAGAGTAACACATAAAACTTATGCACTTTGACTTATAACAACTTCCACGAGTTCAAAAGACAGAACCACAGACTAGTCCAGTACTGGATAATCTATGACTATGTGACAACATTACTGACAAAACCTACAGCAACTATCAGGGGACAGGGACTGTGCTGCTCCTCCCTGCTTCTTCCCCTTAGAAACTCTTAACAGGAAGTCATGAAGGGCACTGCCCTCAACATGAGAACATGACCTACTATGCATGTCTACATAAACAGTGCATGAACTGCCATGTGTACATGAACGATGCATGAACCATTATATGTACACAAACAGTGCATGAACTGCCATACTGAAGACTAAGAGTCAGGAACTTCTTCATCAGGACAGCAGTAATATTCCACAAAGCATATTTGTCCATCTTCATTTCTAATCATATACTGTAATGAGAGAAATCCTCGGTTATCTGTTCGAATAGATACCTTACAAGACAGGACTAATGCCTTTGTAGAGGGTTTCAGTAAAGAAATCTTGTATCTGCAGAAAAGTAAACAAAAAGCTGTTATGTGGACACTCTTGAAGCATAATTCCAAGGACAAAAGTTAGCCGAGAACCACCAAATAGCAAATATAAGAACAGAATCAAAGAGCTGTCCAATTTGCTAATACTTTCTTCATTTTGAAAATTTAATTCACTATCACAATGCCAAATTCCCAAGTAAACCCAGCAATCTACTATTTATTTCTTGCTATACTTTTATCTACACACTGA